AATCCAAAAAAAAAAAAAAAAAAAAAAAAAAAAAAAATGAAAGAAATAAGCAACAATTAATTTCAATAAAAGGAAAAAATAACTTCTGGATGTTTTAGTTTAGCAGTTAATCTGTGGGAATTAAAACAATGTGCAAACAATTATTAAATATTATTATAAATCAAAATTACTAAAGGGTAAAAAGAAATTAAAATTAAAATACATTCATTATAAAGCAAAAAATATGAAATAGTTAAATAAAATGAATAACAAAATTGCAAGAGTAAAAATAAATTAAAATGAAAATACAAACATTATATTTCATAAAAAATAAAATAATTAATTTAGCCTCCAAGTAGTGATTTTAAATTAGGCTACTGATATGCTGGATTCTTTATCTCATAAGAGTGTATATTATATTAAACATTTTTCAAAAGTGCTATTAATCTCTTTAAGTGTAAATTTTTTTTAAAATAAGGGAATAATACTGAGAGCACGTTTAAATGCATAATTAAGAAGGTTAAACTAAAGGAAAATAAGACTAAAGGCATTATGAGCATAAGTTTAGCGATATAGATATGATGCCTCATGTCTCTTTCTTTCCTCCACACACAGACCTGCTCTCTTTTTCTCTCCCTCTCCAAACATGCCCCCTCTGCCTTCTACATCTGCTGAGTACACAGTTAACAGCTCGACCTGACGCTCCGCATCCTGATTCACCCATCTAACCTGTCACCTCCTAATCTCTGAAATGTTGCACGGCACACACGCTAAAACACACACTCACCCCACAGGCCATCTGAAAAGCTATCCGGGGGCGCTAAAATGCTCACTCCAGTTCTGTGAACAATCCCTCTCGTTTCTCGGCACACCGATCCCCCCCATGTATGGATTTCATGTGGATTACATCACAAATCACTTTATCCCCCAAGAACTCTGTCAAGAAGTCTCTCCACCCAAGCATCTCGTTGGCTCTCTTAGGCCACAACCCGGCGCTGATGGGTCGGATTGAAAGGATAGCCACAGCCAGGCTAACTCAGACTAAACCCGCCAGCCGCAGCTAATGCCCCTTTCTGTCTGTTTGTCTCACGATCTGACTGACTTCTCTAGAAAAAGAGGACCCTCTGAGATTCGCACATTCCTTTGCTGTGAAGGAAGGCAAGTGGGAGCTTATCTGGAATAAGGTATTGTTTTCCTTTACGCTCCTCACGGGTAGCCCGTTGAGGAACACGGAGAGAGTTCCAGATCAGTGCTTTCGGGGCCAGTTGTCCCCTGAGCATGTGAATGTATGAAGTGCTGCTTTAGGGAGAACAGCACTAATGCTTCTCTGTCATTAGCGGGCTGTCTAAAAGGCCC